TATCAGTTATATAGATTTAAACACACTCACATTGCACGAGGTTGCCTCCTGGTGATAGCTGGAGTACTGCATTCAGTTTTGGACACTGCACCTCAGGAAGATATTAATAATAAACCTAGCATTTGATATAGCGCTTTTCATGTCTTCGAGACGTCTCAAAGTACTTGTATACATGATATATTGGCTCTGAAAAAGATTTCAGGCCAGCTTTACCAGAATGTTAAAGTTTTTTAAAAAAAGTGAAAATACCTTTTTTTTAAAAAAAATGGCTGGTATTTCTAAAAGTACAATTGTCATATAAAAGCTTTTCTGTGATGATTGGAACAGGTTAATTGGGTTTATGCAGTATTGTAACTTTTTGGCCATCAGTGCAGGTGTGTGGGGGTGTGGGGGAGAGAATGGGAGGGTCAGTACATGAGTGTGTAGCACAGAGGTGCAAGTATGTGGGGTGAATGTATGTGTCTGTGTCAGTGTGAAGTGTATCGGGTGAGTATGAGGGTATGTGGTCAGATCTCAGAATGTGGAATGACCGTGAGTATTAGTGTGGAGTGTGGGGGTTGACTGTGAGTGTCAGTGGTGAACAGTGTGAATGTGTCTGTGATGTGTATTAGTGTAAGTCAGTGTAGGATGTGAGTAAGTGGATGTGGTTTCTCTGTTTGCCAACCGCAAATGATCAGTGATATGATGGTTAACTGAAACTACAGATGAAAAGCAGCCAACTCGCAACTTTTTATTGCATTTTTATATAAAGAATAAAAAAAATTCTGTAAGCTTGAGCGAAATGTCAAATCGAATGTTTCAAAGCCATTTGGAATCATTGTAATATTTTTGCTTGCTGTTCTTATTTACACAAAAGGAACCAGCGTGAGTGGTTTATTTCAGCATATAGTTACATCAAATACATGGAAATGAAACTTGCCTTGCTGCCAGTTTCCAATCTTATTTATTGTATAATGTTGTTGGCCAAAACAGTTTGAAAATCACTTTGATTTCTACAAGTTGTCTTCATTATTTATAAGGTGCCTTTGCCAATTACGTTGACAGCTTATTGATTAATCATTTTTTTTTGCTGTTCATCTTGTTGCTGCTTCTGATGTTATTTAATTTTGGAAGAAAATGCGCTGCTGCTTTGGAGAATAATTGTCCTTTCAAGGACAATGAAAGTGTAATTTTTGGGGGTGTATTAAGACTACAATTCAGATGTATCGCAGCCCACATGAATGTATTGTTTTTGTATCTTTTTACATACAGATTGGGTTATTATTGAGGGAATCAATCTGTGGCGAGAGCTTCAGCACTTGGGATTTATTGGGGGGCTTATGTTGCACATCAAAAATAAGCTGTGCCAATTGAAATATAAAACCTGAACAATCTAGCCTTTGAGCACCACATTTTCATTCTACCTTGTACATCACGATCGTTCCCTCCTACCACAGTACCTGAGGGAAAATACAGGGATCTAAAATTTATAATGTCTTCGAGACGGCTGCAGATGGTAGTGGGTGTGTATAGCACTCGTGAGCTGTAGCCTCTCTATCCATTTGTCTAATTCAGATTGATAACCTCTGCAGTTGCTCATCCGTAATCTCTATGTAAATGAAATTCAATAAACTGTTAGATCTTTGTTTAAAAAAAAATTGCCTGATCTTAATATTTTCTGGCACTCAAGATGTTTGGAAAGCAACCAACTAAATGTATGAAATATTTCAAAGGATCTTGAAAGAAGATTGCTAAGGCGTAGAGGGCGCACATTCTTGACTTCCATCTTGTAGTGGTTGGGATTGACACACATTTGGGGAGTGCAGTACCCAGAGCTAAAGGTAGGGGGAGTGAGAACAAAAGAATCCTTTCTTGAAAGAGGCACAAAAGTGCAGGCTGGGAGCACTGAGCACACTTGACAGCACACGAGGAGAGGTCAGAGCCGAGGCTGCAAAGACTAGTAGCTGAAACCCCCGTCTTTACTACAAGCTCAAAATAATATTTGGATCCAGACCCAACGAGGGCTAGTGACTGCAGATCCAGCTTGATGCACTGTTTGTAATTTTATTTATATTTAATAACAGTATCGTGGATTTGTGAATGTTTCCGATTCTTTCTAAGTTTGATTTGAAAATTAAGATTTACTGAGCCAGAAAGTTAGTTACTATGGGAGGCTTTGGCATACGTTACAGCCGCACAACATGGTACAAAGTCAAACATTGCAGAGGGTTCATTCCTTGATTAAAAAAGAGTTTCATCATAACTTAACTGGCTTGCACTGTCTGGCTCAGTAATTTTTTTGAGTCAATTCCCCTTATGTCTCCAGCACTTACCGTATAAAATTCAATACAATTGCTGAATAGATAGAGGAGAAAATACAGTACATTTTAAAAGATTCTCCTTTTCTTTTTGCCCATTTTATCCTCCCTCCTCCTCTTCTGCGGCAGATACTAACTCTTGTGAGCACTGGCATCCTTCCGAGACTGCATCCCTCGAGTCTGTTCTTTGTGTGAGCTAAGATGTGAGTGAGAGTCAACAGGACTGTGGATGGCAATCAATGATGGAATTCATTCCTGTTCTCTCTGAAGTTCGGATATAGTCGCAGACACGTGCTGACTGCTCATTGCAGCAGAAGATTCTAGATGATGATCAGAGCGGAAAATTATCTGATTCTCTTTTCCTTTCCTTGTTAAGAGACACTGAAGCCCACTAGAGTGCCGTGATATGGCCCTGGTTGAAATATTGGCCAATTCAGCATAGTGCGGAATCGACCTTGGCATGCTTATATGGTTCAATGCTGCAGACTCCCAAATCAAAAGTCATTACTCTTGAACAGAAAATGAAACGAGAGAGAGAGAGAGCAGCAATGCCCGGAGCAGAACAAATAGGCTGTTCCATGGATTGTGAGACTTGCGTTAAACTCCTCATTGCCAGGCACAAAGATCCCAATCTCAGCCAAGTCAGCAGGGAGCCTATCCACTACACACTGATCTGAAGAGCAGCATGGACAGTGATTTTAGGACTGTGTTTTGAGGTCAGGGTATATCTGGTGCTGTGAAACCTACTGGGGGTGGGTGGACAGATGCAGATCTCCCCCCTCTCCTCCCCACCCCTCCCCCCGCTTCTCAAAATAATCAAACCATTTTTATTCTTCATTGTCGTCACTTTGACATTCAATCAGAAACAATGGCAGCTGCGTTCCTTTGTGAACAATAAATCATCAAATTCCTACAGGAAGTACACTATTTATAGATTGATAAAATCTGTTCCATCTGTGTATCTTTTGACAAAGTATCTACTTTTCAAGAAAATCAGGGCATTCATTTGAATTCAGTCTCGAGTGGTGCTCGAGAGAAAACACCAGCCCAGTTGATATATTTTTATTATTGTTTTGGAAATCTACTGTTTACTTATTCTTCAGAAATACTCATAAATTGAAGATAACAAAGAGCTGATTTTCCCCGTCAATAGAGAAACCTGCAATTCTGCACCTCCCGAAACACGTCACACGATTTACTGTAAAGTGTAATGACTGTGTATTTTGTAGGCGGCACATGTTGTGCTGATGCAGCTTTATTCTGAGCCACACATCGACTTCTCCCCTTTGTTTCTCTTCAATGGGAGGAGGGGATAACAAAATGGGCACAGAGCAAAATTTGCACTTATCTTAAACGCAGATGTTATTCACGCTAACACAAATGGTACTTGTGGGTAAACACACAGAGGGGCCCCAGAGTTAGAGCTGCACACAGCCCAGCAGTCCAGGCTGATGAGATATTCATAAGCATAGGAGACAGTGTGCTTAGCAATGAATTAGTCAAGTAGGTTTGTTTACACATCTGATTTTTCTGGTAGCATGCCAAAGAAACAGAATGTGGCATGCCCTTTTTGAGAAATATTTCCATAGCTTATTATGGTTCAGAAGTGAGCATTAACTCCCCATTTAGGAATGTGACTAATTATTCCATTCACAACGTACATGATTCAGAATTTCATAAAGCAGGTGTGATGTTTCATAAAGCAGGTGTATTGGATAACAACCTGTATTCTATGTTTTATCTGGTGGGTTTTGATCTCATTCGAGGGATTTCAGGAAGACTCGTGAGCTGGAAAGTGTTATGAAAAGAATGTGTTGACGTTGTTGCAATCCCACTTTGTAATACTTTGGATGCTCAGGCTAGACAATCCAAGTTCTCATCTTCAAGAATAGCGCTAAACAAAGTCCAACTATAACAGATTTCCCTCCAGTTTTGCGCAGTCTGAGAAATGACCACAGTGAAAAGTGATGCAATTTTCTGGATATAAAATAGACGAATCACCCACTACTAATGACTTTTCATGTATGTTTAGTGGACTTTCTGATTGCACTGACTGTAATGAGGGAACATGAATGCAGTCCTTGCAACTGTGGAGTTTAATCAGAAACATCAACCTGGGTCTCTCTACATTAAAGGTTCCTGGAAGAAGTGAGATTAGGACAGAAATAATGATGAAAAGCAAGGTTATCAGATCGAAACAAAGTCAGGATCCCCTGAAAAAATGGGGAAGTGAAAGAAAATTATGAGAGTGTGATGGGGCAGTGAATGATTCATGGTCTCTGCAAGCTGTAGATGTTTACTGCTATCTGTGTAAGTTACCTTTGGTGGAAATATTTAGTACATCTTAACTTTGGGTTAGTTTTTAAACTTATGCACAGGTATTTTATTCATTTATTTAGGTATTCATTCACCGCTGAAACTATTTCTTGTATAATTTCATCTCTTTAATAATATATTCTCTTTAACAATATTCTAAAATATTATCACTTTCGGCACATGTTAAAGCAAACCCATGTTGTCACATTACCTAAGAGAACTGCAGGTAAATTGGCAATATTTTGATGGATCATTTTACCTATCAGTAAATACTGACAGATGATTCAGAACCCCTGTAATTATTATTTACTGCGAAGGATAAGGTCAATGTAGTTTATAAACAGTTGCTGTTTCATAATTTCATAACCCCCTCTGCTTCTCCTTTAGGGCTTTGTAAATAAGCTTGATGAATTAATTAATTGGCTGTATGAAGCCTTGGAAACAACAGAGAACTGGACCCCTCCGAAAGCAGATACTGACAGCCTCAAACTTTACCTGGAAACCCATCTGGTAAGTACATGTTTAGATACTGAATCGAGCTAAGGAAATTGTCAAACATCTTACGTGCTGGCAGCTCTATGGCTTCACTACATGTTACCATCCCCCCAAAAAGATTTGTAATTAGAAACCTAGATAGTTGTACAAGTTTATGGCTGGTGCACAAAAAAGTAATTACAACTGTTCACAACTGTGCTAAGCAGAAGTTTCTTCATGACAATGTTTGGCAAACCCTTTGCTTTTTGGAGAGGAAGCAGAGCCTTGTATCAATTTTAATTTGGTGAAATTGTATATCCCAGTCATGTATTTTTATAAAATTTGAATCATCCTGCCCTGTTTTTTTTAGACATCCCAAATAGTTTGGTTTGTTGAGTTTGGGATCAGAAGGTTCTGGGTTCAAATATTTATGGGTACACAAGATCCATTGAAGACCATGTGTGAAAAATCACTTTTTTGTGTGTGATGTTGAGCAGGGTCTCTTCAGGTTTGAAGAGACATGCCAGGCAAGTCTGCAGTCATCCAAGGGCATAGCTGATTGGCTTCATTGATGAAACTGGGAGGATGCAGAAATGCCTGCAAGTCAAAGTCCCAACAGGTGGGGAGGTTTCATGAGTGCTTTTGAAACATATTGGGCTTTATACTGGTAAGCCGTGTGGTTACTAAAATTAATAGTAACAATGTGCCATATTTTCAAACAAACAGTAAAAAGGCTTGCCAAACCCTTTTCTGTCAGGAAAATTGCTTTTTTATTATAATCATTATGGCACATACTTTGAATATGTTCATTGAAAGACTCCCATTGTTTGATTATGGGAGTTTATAAATCAAAGTAATGAGGATGATCTCCAGTGTTAGAGGAATGAGTTATGAGTAGCGATTAGACAGACTTGGTCTCTTCAGGATTGAAAGGAGATATCTCAGAGGAGCTTTATAGGGTTATACAGTATAAGATTTTATAAAGGATTGACAATGTAAACTCAGAAGAAAAACTTTCGAATGTGCTAATACAGAAAAACAAGAGGGTACAGATTAAAAATTACAAGGGACAATTTTAGGAGAGCACAAGGAAATATTTGTTTACCCAGAGAGTAATCAACTGGAACCGATTACCAGTGAGGGTGGTTGAGGCCAAGAAGTTGAAATCTTTTTTTAAAAAATACAGTTTGATGCTATGACGGGAGAATAGTATGGCGGGTATTCTGGAACCATTAGATCAAATGGGCCGAAGGGCCTTCTCCATTTGAACCAATGTAGTATGATAATGTGCTATTATCGGTGTTTATTGCTGAAAATATCTTAAGTGTGCCCTCTTCTGGCAGACAGTGTATATTTCAGAATGCCGGGACTGGTGAGGGAACTTCCAGGAGGTCACTATTATTAGGGAAGTGGATACAGTATTTATTTTTTATTTCACGGTGCCCTTGCTGAAGATTATTTTGACGAGATCAAATGTCAAGCTGTAATTAATTTCTTTGGTGCCTAATTAAATTAATCAGAGATACAAAGTGTGAAGTTTATAAATCGGTTTCAGCGTTAATCATAAATTAGAAACTGAAACATACACTTATCAATTAGCAACATTTTGCTTGTTTTAATTGACTGAGTAAATGGTACAGTAATCAAGATTGATACATGCTTTTAAAATTATATTTTGCATACTAATTTTCATAGTTTTTTGTTGCTTTTCTTATGGTTCCTCTATAATGCCAACCAATGAGAGTAGGCTCCCAAGCCTGTGCCAATCATGGCTCTTTAGTTGTGTGCTAACAGATGTGTAAGATGACCCATGGCAAGTGTGGTGGCAGGTATTCCCCAAGAAGAGAACTGCTAAGATGTAACCATGTCTGATCAGAAATCACTGCTGTAATTTATTAATGAGCTGTGCTTACAAGTGTGTGTGCACACACGTGAGTGTGTGTGTGTACATATGCAAATACTTGTCTGCAGGTGTGTTATTCAACTTGAAATACCATGTTTCCTCTCTCCTGCTTCAGGCTACTCAATGTCGCACACCATCACCTAGTTCAGGTGGCAACCTATTCTCAGGCTTCTGCCAAGTGTGCTCTGTAACTGACCACTCAGAACTAAATTGAGAACAGCTCAGGCTGGCAGTTTGTTACTTGTTGCTCAGAAGCAAGTACTTCTGTCATAACTCAGTGAGCAAATGCACATTAATTTGACATTGGGTCACGCAGACCAGGGATGTTGTAGGTTGCGTCACTGGTCAGCGATGACCTAAGGAACCTCAAGGCAGGAGAGCATGAATGACGTTCCAATTTGCTTTGGTGTCCCTGGACTATGGAGACAATATACCAGCCAATCATTGTGCTTCTGGCCACTGGTGTAATGTAGTATTGTGAACAGTGAGATGGGCAAGGTTGAGCTTGGCTGGGATACCCCAACTCCCAACCAACCCATGGTTTAATACGTTTTCTGCTACTTTGCTAATGATCACTTGAAGTACCTGAGTGCAGCTGGTAATGTATGGCATTGAAACTTTACCCTGGGGAGGAGAGGAAACAATAAAAGGTTTTGAAGGAAAAAAGCAAAGCATCTCAATGACGTTTCAACCTGTATAAGAATATATTTCTGATTTTTTAAACCTACTTCTTTCATTGTTTTGCAGAGTTTTAAACTAAATGTAGACAGTCACTGTGCCCTTAAAGATGCAGTTGTTGAAGAGGGCCAGCAGCTACTGGAACTCATTGAATCACAGGAATCCGGTAAGTCTCCAACATTGTGAAACGTCCTCAGAGTGGATTTCCACGGGTCCGTTATGCAAATTGATTTGTGCAATCTTCATACAATTCCAGGATTAACCCTCCAAAGAAAGTTGATGTATCAGAACATGAAGGCTTGTTTTTCAATAACTTTTATTGCAACTTTGTGCCAATCACAGATTTAGAGCAAAATTGTACTGATTATATTGTTCACAGCAAATCATGAATATCAAAGTGATTTTGGCCAGTACATTTGGAAGGATACATATTGATACGACTTCCCCCGGCTGTGGATGTGGGGCTGTGGATGTGGAGCACTGGATATGGGACGCTTGTTCACATCAAAGCTGATTTTGATGCATCAGTCAGAACACCATGTTCGCCTGCATTTAACAAGTGACCGATTGTGTTCTATCAGAAAACAAAAAGATTCATTATTTTTTCTTTGAAATCTTGAGTCAGTCAGGTGCACAGCAAAGGCTTTCCTAAGCCCTGGGTATGGTAGATTGCACATGCATGGAGGTAGAGGTACCATCAATAATTTTTTAGACGAACAGCTATACACTGTTACCCTATTTCCAGACGAATTTCAAATTCAGGGTTTTAAAACACACCGCGTAAATCCTGTTTTGCATAATTATTTGAATAGGAGAAAGAGCAATTCTGGCTTTTTTTAAGGAGCATTATTACCCATTTAAACCATAATTACTGACACTGTTAACCAGCCTCAAATGCTACCCAAGCACTAGCACATATATGCTGCAGAGCTGAGCGAACCTTTGATCGAATGATTGTTTCTGTCATTTGTGTGAGGCGCCCTGAAATATCCACCAAATAAAGTGAGAAAATGTGCTGCATGTAATGTAGCAGGAGCATGAAATATAGCAGGAGCATGAAATGGGTGATCTATGTTTATATCCCAGAGATACACACCCTTCCATGGCAAAGGGGAATTCAGCTTCAATAGCTTGCTTCAGGATTGTGCTTACGTTGGCTGGAGAGCTAAGCTTATTAAGTTGAGGGAATCTTTCTGGCTGATGAAATTCATAGCTGACAAAACATCTGTCCATTTGCCCATTTATAGCTTCATGTAATAGCTTAGTCCATAAATTGTACACCGGTAACGAGAGCGGGCATCCCCATGCTATTATTTTGTCACCGGGGAAGTTTAATAGATTATTTCAGGTTATACTGATGTATAACATGCCAACATCTATTACTTGGAGAGTTGACCCCCTGTCTCTTTTGCAGCCAGAGTTCAAGCAGTTTGCAATAGTGCTCCATGCCTGGCTCAAATGATAGCACTTTTGCTTCTTAAGCTTGTAGGTCCAGGCTCTATGTTGAGACTTTCAGCTCATAATTCTAGGCTGACATTCCAGTGCAGTGCTGGGAAGCCTGCATTGTCGGAGGTGCTGCCCTTGGGATGAGACAATAAACCAAGGTTCTGTCTGTTCAGGTGGATGTTAAATATCTCATGGCATTATTCGAAAAGACAAGGAGGTTTTTCCCCATGTCATGGCCAACAACTGCCCAGAAAATAAATGTGTGTGTGCGCAGTGGTGGGTGGGGGATGGGGAGTCATTCACTTCATGGCTCTTTGTGGGACATTGCCTACACATAAACAATCACTGGACTTGGAAAAAAAAACTCTGAAATGGAGATGTAATAATATGATAAGGCACTAGATCGAATGTATGGATTATTATTTTATATTATTAAGGTTGTACAGTGCACTTTACTGCAAGGAATAAAGCCTTGGAGCAGATACATTCTTAAGATCACCGAGTGTGGCCCTGGCATTATAAATTTCCTGTTAAAGAAATCTTATACAGGATCTTGCATTAATCTCCTGCCATAAATTTGAGCAACAACATCTCCTGCCCCAAACCGGTCTCTCCAATTTGCCTTTCTGAAATCAAAGTACTTTATTGATTCTTCTCACCATTTTTACATCTCCTCCCCTCCTGTCTCCTTGTTTAATGCTTTTTTTTTAACCATCTGCTGGTCCTTGCATGCCAATCATCATGTGATGCTTCACCCAAGTATCTACATTCATGTTTGAACCTTAATAGGCATGCGATCAACTTTAAGGCCCTTACAGTCAAGTCGAATCTTGCAAAGATTTAGATACATCAGCTTGATTTAATTTTAAGGCAATGCGATTATACTTGTGGTTAAGGAAAATGTAATTTGAAAGATTAGATCATACAAACAGTTTTCATCTCTGCTATTCAAAACCAAGTGAAAACATATTTATATCCTGTATTGCTTCTACCTGTTTTACTGGCAGCGAACACTTGGGGGTTCAACGGAATTGTAGTCTTGCTCTATTTGAATACAGACACAGTAGTAAATGAAGATGTTTCTCCTGGGTAATTATGAAGGGTTTCAAATGAATTTGTTTCTTGTCACTGCAATCTTCTTCTAAGCAGTTGGAGTCTGTATCTATCCAAAACATTGCACCTAATTTCATAATGTGAGTGCTTTAAAGGTCCAACTCTAAAATGTTGAAAAGGAAATGTGTATTCATAAGGACAGCAGGGGTGCTGTTCAGAGATGTGGTTTACAGATTATTGGAGTAATGTAAGCACAGCACGGCACTGAAGTGACCAGTGCTAATCCTCACCAAGAAACAGCATTTTATAGGGAGCAGGTAGAGCAATTCAATTGTTGAGCATTGTCAATCCATCTGAGAAAAGCTAATTTTTCCAATGTTTCTAACTAACATCGCAAATTAAGCTGACGACGGTGTGCGAAGTGACGGCTGCATTGATTCGCGTTAAGAATCGGAAGGTTTAGTTTATCAAATAAACTTTCTTCCATGTTACGATACATCTTTCAAGAATGGAGAATGTGACTTCATTCCATATGACTTGATTCAATTTCTTGTTTAATAAAAAAAGAAATGCAAATTCTTGAATTCAGTGCCTGCCTGGAACATTTATTAATTGAAAGCTGTTGACTTTTTACGCTAACTTCTGGCAAATGCTGATACCTCACTGTTCTGCTTTGAAGGATTGAAGGGCATGCTGCAGATGATTACAAGTCAATGGCAGGAGCTACAGAGACAAATCAAACGACAGCACAGCTGGATTCTTCGAGCTCTGGACATAATCAAAGCTGAGATATTGGCAACTGATGTGACTGTGGACTGCGTGGAAGGTCCTGGGTGTCCCAAAGTAAGTGGTTTGAAGTTTGACAATTACACATTGGATTTCTTGGAGCATTCCAACTGTGCACAATTGCTTTCAGACATAGCCACTGGGCAAAAAGCAAAGACTGCTGCTCAGATTTAAAATAAAAATGCAAGATGAGTGAGGTCATTTCACTCTATATGTACAGAGGCAATAAGGTAACATCAATGTGTTGGTAGTTTGCTTTTCTCTTCTGAAAAATGTTTACTCTTCCAGCGCAAAACATTTCTTTCACATTTGGGGATTGGGTAGGTTGGAGGGGAAGCAAGGAAGCTTCCTGCAGATGTCTCCACGACTTCACTGTCAGTTACTAAAAAGTTGGTTCTTCTGTGATCACAAGGTGGGTGTAGATGAAGATCAATGTTACCGCAATGAGTAAGGTGGAGCAATGGTTTCAAATTCAATTATTGCCAGTGGGCGCTGGTCCCTGAGTTTGCCTTAATGCAAACATTGCACTGCAACTAAGACCTTTTTCAGCCCCCACTGCATCCCATTTCTGACATGAGTCAATAACATTGCCTTTGTGAGCGAGATTGGAAAATTAAAGTAGTGTGATGCTTTAAACTTGCCTTTAGACGAAGGTTAAGGCTGTTCAATTGCAGACTCTCAGATCGTTGCATCCAAGTCTGAGATGGAATTGAACTTAGGACCCAAGAGTGGAAGTTCATTGTTCTAATCCAACGGTCTAACCAGCTAGCGTCTCTGGTTATTATATTTTGAGTTTTGTTTTGTTGAAGTTAGCTGTCATCACTGAAGCAAGTAGAGCTATCATTATAGCAGTAACGGTCTTCCTGCTCCAGGCTTTTTCCTCAGCTCTAATGTTTTCCATTGCTTTGTGTAGTCACTTCTCATGGCCGAGAAAACAAAGTTATTGCAACAGTGATTGAGGTTGTTCTGTCAACCACTCTTTCTCTCTCTCTGTCTCTTTGTCTCTCATGTTTCACCTTTCTTGTCTTGGTTTCACTGATGCTTGAGACTCCCTTTAAAGATTAGGTTGACAATATCAGCTTGTTAAATTCTCTACATTTGTCTAGTGCAGGTCACTGTCAGTTTGGACCTTTTCAGCCCCCACTGCTTTTCTGCATTTTGCTTCTGTTTCTTATCGGACAGCTGATAGTCACTTGATTCAGTGATGACTGTATTCTTTTCACAGCAGGTTCTGCCACTAGTACCTCCACACCATAACTTGTATTGCTGTTATCTATTATCTGAGAGTTTGCTTTTGTCTGTCATCATTACTGTACCGCCTCTTCTCCCCCCCACCCCTACCCTACATTGATACTTGCTTTCTCTGATATAAGGGGCCGGAAACCCTCGTTAAATATTATGGCATGTTTGATAAGCTGAAGAGCTGATGATAGGTTTCATGTTCTCCCATTTCACTGTGACTTATCGTCTCCTGATAGTTTATATGTTTATTTTTTTCATTTTACAGAAGAGATGTTATTCCTTAGCCCCCTCCCCACCCTGCCCCCCACCACACACACATAGGATTCTGTTTTTTTGTTACCTTGCTCCAACCATGTTCAGTGCAGTCAGAAACATATCTGTTCACTCTCCTCTTTTTCTCCCTTCTTCATTATTCTTGTTTATTCTCTTCTTAGATCCCCCTTTCTCTTCTCTTCATCCCTGGCTCCCCCTCATGTTTTTCTATCTGTTTTAACAACTGTATGAAAGCTGTCTCTACTTAGTTACAATCGTTGCTTGCTTTGCCAGCTCCTCTGCTTTCTTCCCCCGAGTACTGTACTGTCTGCCATAGTTTCTGTTTAGCTCCAAAGTGTAATCCTATGCTCGCAGTCCAACATGTTCAGATGATGTTTGCGGTTGTCATTTTCCAGGAGTGTGTTCGGCTTTCTCCCCGTGGCTGTTACTCATCTCTCTGTTTTGTTACATATTTGCAATGTTACAGTATGGACAACAACAACAACAACGGCATTACATTTGGACAAAGAAATGCAACAATAAATAGCAACTAGTTAAGATGTTGATGTGATGAAACATTTTAATAAAAACAATGAAAATACGTAAAATTCACCCCAAGCCGTTTTCGGACTCTGGTGCACCAGATACATTCCATTTCAGATCCCACTACATTGTAGAAATTGGCATATTTGTACCAAGTTTACCTCTGCGACCTCCTGCAACCTTACCCACCTCATCCACCCCTAGCAGATACTGGCCCACTTCAATCCCCTGCCCGACCCACCCCATCATTTGTGGGAGAGCTTTCAAGCTTTCCACCTGCATTCTCTGGAACTCCATCCGAGAGTCTCTCTGTCTCCGCACCTTTAAAACATGCCTTATTAAGACCTATCTTTTCTGATGGATTTTGGTTACCTGCCACGCCCCCCACCACCCACGTCACCAAACCCCTCAGGTGCCCAGTTAGCTGTGTGAAGCTCTTGGAGATGTGAAAGGTACAATGTAAATGAAAATTGTTGTTTCTTCATGAATTGATACATATTTACTTGTCCAATGTGAGAGGTAATTGATGTAAGAAAAATGAAACCTGCAAATAAGTGAATTTATTTCAACCATTTAGCTTGCATCAAAAGAAACAGTTGCCATCACAGTTTTAATGAGGATCTACTTGACCCTGATCTTTCCCTGTTATTCAATGAATGTTCTTTCCGGGTGAAGTAAATGGAAATTATGTGTCTGGTGAATTAGTAAACTTTCATGTGTCAGAGATTTCAGTTGGCTTGTGCAGCCTGTTCAGGTGGACATTAAAGATCGCATGGCACAATTTAAAAAAGAGAAGGGAGTTTCTCCCTGTCTCCTGGCCAATAATCTCCTAGATGAAATCGATCACTTAATTTAAAACAATTTGTGGGACATTGAGATGAACAAGATTGGTGCCACATTTGGCCACCTAAATGCAGACATTACACTTTACAGAGACGTGAAAAGCGCTATCAATGCGGTGATTATTACTATTTGTTGTATCTTCTAAATAATCAAAAGGATTCTAACAACAAATGGCATTCACCCTTATCGTGAGGTAGCATCTCAGAACACTTATAGTCATATCAGAAATTAAGGACAATAGAAACACTCACAAACACTGAAAATAGATTAATAATACTTAACATTTCCTCCAATCGAGAAATAATTCTGTCTTAACAAATCTTTATAGTGTGTACGTATTCAAAAATGTGAATAATTTTTTGAAATAATTTTTTTGTAACTAATATAAATCATTTTAATCTGCAAAATCATTCAGTAGTGATATCCATTATCATGCTGCTTACAGCAAATTAACAAAGAGGATGATGGTGGTCTGACAGTGATCCATTGTCTCATTGGTACTAATGACTATCAGATACATTGTCTCATTAGCAGGTGACTATCATACAGTAGTAGGTAGGAAGGTCACAAGTTCTCAACAAATCTTCCTGCAACATCCATTGTAATCCTCAAGAATGGGCCATTAAACAGGACCATTGGGTCATGACTAACTATTCCTAAATTTGTAAAGTTTTGGCACTTTGCAGTTGATAGATAACCAAAATTTGGGTCATTTAGTTAGCTTTTTTGCAGAACTGAAATCAGGTGAGCTGTATTTTATAACGTTGACAATATATTTTGCATCTTTCAATGAAGAACCGTGCTTCATTCTCTAATGTACAAACCTGGGATTCATTTTTTCCTTTGGCTTGAGCATTTCTGTAAGCCTTAGGAAAATGGAAGAGGATAAGGTACAGTGGAAAACTCATGGCTGAGTGTATTTGGCGGCTTTACCACGGGAGAGTATATATAAAAGTAATTGCTTAAAAAGAAGGATTGCAGATGTATAAATTCCAACAGAATATATATGTCTTTTAGTTCATTACAGTTAGTAAATGTTATTTTTAACAGTAATAATAATGAAAATGAAGGCTATTAATCCTATCAGGCAGATCCATAAATGGACTTTATATCTATAATTGTTAAAGTGGCACAAGATTCAGATGGAATGTTTGAGAAAGGTGTTCAGAGGATACCGTCCAACAAAATAGAATATTCTGCGCTGCGCTGTAAGGCAGCAAATGGAGATGCAGGATGCTGATGTTCCGATGTGGTGCAGAGGGGTAGGGGCACATTTGCATTCAGATTTTAATCTCAGTTGAGCCACAAAGAGGGTGTAAACTCCAGAGGCTATGAAAAGAGATGGGAGCTTTGAGATCAAATGATCCCAGGCTGCTCATGTTTACCTCCTAATGACCATTTACCATTTATAGAGCAACATTGGATACTTCTCGCCTGTCTTGTATCTTTGCCTGGGAATGGTAAATTATATACGGTTGATGTGTGTGGGGGTGGATGGGTGGGTTGGGGCTGAATAATGGAGCGGTGGAATAAAAGCCAAAATAATACACTCTAAAAGTAAAGGTTACATAATGGTCAACTTCCTGTTTCTTGGGATATCTGGAAGGAGGTCTTTCATTGTATCACTGTAGTTTATTCTATGGAGTGAGGAATGCGCTGAGTTAATGCGTCAGTTAAACAGATATTTGAAGATGCTGACATCTTTTTAATGTATTGTGATGGAAGAAGCAGTTTGATACCTGACTTATATTGCAACTTTTTATTCTATTCAATTGTTTCAATAAAAACTATACAGAAAGGAAGATTATTCTGGGAAAGAGCAAAATGCACTTCAGTGTGATGGTCCCTTCCTGACATGTAACACTTTATATAGCTGAGGGTCACGATATATGTAACCCTATATATGGCTGCTGTTTGCCAGAATAATCTTGGCTTCTGTATATTATTTTATTAAAACAATTGAATAGAATAAAAAGTCACAAATTTCCAAATAAACTGTATTTACCATTTTTTTAAAAAATCTTAATTCAGCCACTGTGAATTTATTCTATTTTAAAAATCCTTTGTTCTTAAGTACTTTATCGTCAGTCTTATTTTTTCCATACAAGAAGATTATTCCCCCTTTTTGTGTTTACGGCTACATTTTTAATTTGCCATAAAAATCAAACGCAAGAAGA